CCGTGACCAGGTTTTAGGGTTTAGGGGTGGCTTTACGTCGTAGGCCCTTGACAAAAATCGGCTCGCGGAGGGTCTACATCGGTGTTACACAACGGGGTTCCTACACTGTAGGGTTTCTGTTCAGGGTTAGGGAAGTTAGGGGTTAAGGAAAAAAGGGTTTCTCGATGTTTAGGGTGTAGGCCTCTTGAAAATCTCTAGAAATTACAAAACAAGGGGTTAACATATATAGGGGATTCTAGAAGACTTTTCCTAAAAGGCTTATATGAGGGTGGCTGCAAGATTATTCGGGCCCGGAGTTCACGCGGTTCGGGCCTGGGTCTTCATCCGCCATAATTGAAATATCAGGGGTTTTCCCACAGGTTTTAGGGCTTAGGGTTTATCAATATTAGTGTTTAGAGTTTAGGGTTTAGGATAAGACGAAGAACAAGAATAATATCTAAGATTGAAAAACAAGTTTCATGGCAATGACTAGCAAGACTTGGAGGACTATGTAGGGGGGTACAGGGCCTGGGGATTTTGTGGGTCTGGGATCTTGGGCATTAAGAGCCTTACGAGGTAAACGCTTTAGTTCGCCTTCGTGATGATAGCCCTGGGGATGTGGCTCAAGGTGAGGCTGAGGATTTGGCCATACACTTCTTGCCGTTGCCGTTGCTGCTGCTAACTTTAGGGTTTAGGGTTTATAGGGTTTAGGGTATGTACGAAGGCAGCGCCAGTGATGCTCATGACCATGATGCTGATGCCGCGGCAGCAGGTGTTGTACCTGTCGGCCTACCTGTATCAGGAGTTGGGAAGCGTGGCTCAACAGTATTTCACCTAAACCCTGAACCCCTAAACCCTAAACCCCTAAACCCTAAGCCCTCAACCCGAAAGCGGGAGTCCCTTTCCAAAGACATTTGCTGAACTCAGGGAGCCCAGGTGTCCACAAGCACAAGTCGAAGAGCCAAAAAGGACCACCTGTAGCCGTGAAAGACCTCTAACGTCGGGGCCTGATAAAATAATTAGAATAGGGTTTTGGGGGTACATTATACTACAACTGTCATAAGGAAACCCCACAATAATATAGCTAAATATCTAGGCCCCTACATTACATTTTTTTCGGAAAACCTTCGACATCCTTCGACCATCTCGCTATTGTGAGACTGCTGAGTGCGGCTCTGCAAGGCAGCCGTGGCTGTGGGCGAAGATAACCACGGACCTACCACCGCTGGGTTGTTTTCTACCTATAGTCTCCATTGTAGTTCCTTTTTGGGGGGATACCTTATAACATCCTTATTATATATTTGGTTTAACCAAAAAAGGAACCACAATGGAGACTATAGGTAGTACTATAGGTAGTACTGTATTTCATGGGTTCTTCCAGGATTTCTTACACTTCGGGTCCAAGTCGTGGATGCTCTTATGATGAGGATCCAATTGTTTAAGCGCTGGGGCTCCAGCGCAGGGGTTCTTGGGTCTAGGGTTTAGGGTTCGTGCAGTCTGTGCTGAGCGAACTTGCGACTGCTTAGGCCTCGTGTCGTCGGAGTTCCGTGCTTTAATGAACATGCAGAGGCGAACTAAACAAACGGAAAACCAATGCAACCTTAAACTTGCGGCTAAAGCAAGCTGGGGCTGGATACGCGATGCCCTCAGTAGCTTCAATGACTTTGGCTGAGTGAGAGAGAGAGAGAGAGAGAGCAAACGGTGCTGTGTGCTACAATGTGGCTCTCACAATAACTGATGACACAAAGAATCATGCGGTCACACTCAACCCATATTGCGAAAACTTTTTAGGGTCCATATTCGAGTGCCACATGTGTTGAAACTCCCATCTCCGGGTCCAAACCCGCGGCCCTAAACCCTAAACCCTAAACCGAAAGCCCTAACCCTAAAAGTGTGCAGCGGGAAGCCCCGACACCACCGCGGCGGGCGCCTGGATCGGAACTCTGGCGTCTCCACCTGTGACGGAAAGGGACAGAAGTCCGGAATCCGGTGCGCTGACCCAACTAAGGATTTAAGCTGATAGGCCTTACATGTAATGTAGAGGGGTTGAATTTGGTAATTTGGTCGCATAGGCGCTGTTTTTGATATTAACTACAGCTTTGCAGAGGCTTTTTGCTAGTTTTGTGTGCCAATTTCGCCTCCCTTCGATAAGAAGGGACCCGGTTTCATACTACGTATCTTCATGTAGGGGCCTTAATACCTAGACGAGGGTTTTGGGCTCCCTTATAGTGTATTTACAATAAGGAGCCCTTTAACGGTGGTATTTGTACTTATTTAGGCTTATTCAGCCTCAAGAAGGAGACGTCCAGGGTGCTGCTAGAAAGCCGAGGCTCGAATGCCGAAGCCTAGAGTTCTAGACCGGGGGCGGTTGTTTGGGGATGTACAGTGGAGATGGAACAGGAACAAGGGGTAATGTAGGGGCCTTAAGAATAATTAGAATAGGGTTTTGGGGTTGCCTTCTTACCATTGTAGTGTAATATGCCCCAAAGCCCATCATTTGCGCTTGCTGGTCTCAGCTCAAAGTCCTGAGAGCAGGTGTCACAGCGCGGATGTAGGAGCCGAAGTCCCCAAATAGGAGCTTCGGAAAAGTAGGTGACCCTGATTCAGAAACCCTAAACCCAAAACCCTACATAGTCGGATCCTCGACAATGTAAGGCTGGAAATAAGAGACACCAGTTTTCTGAAACCTTCAAGTCTCCATAGACCCTGCAATTCAACCTGCCAGCCATCCGTTCAAGGTAGTTAGCAACAGTATGCGTTAATTCAGGTAATATAGAGGCCTTAATAATTAGAATAGGGTACAGAAGGCCAAACACAAGCGCTTCGGTTTGTAGAGTGGCAGTTTCGGGAAGATCTGAATACTGAACACAACATGAGTCATGTAACCCTAAACCCTAAACCCTAAACCATGTACAACGGCGAGATTCTGCAGGATTGGTCTGTCGCTTGCTGCCGCCCAAGCCAAGTTTGAGTAGAAACCGACATGATCATCAACCTGAACCTGAAGCCTTAACACCTTAAACAGAAAGACCCAATGTAAAGGCCTTAAGTTAATAAATCGATTAGGGTTTTGGGCTCCTTTATAGTATAGTTATCTTAAGGACCACCCTCCCCCCCCCCCCCACGAAATAGTATTGGTAATTATTCAGGCTCCTATATAAACCTTTTGCATCCGGGCTTGGAGAGTCGGCCGGGAACACTAAACCCTAAACCCTATATTAAACCTAAACCCCTAAACCGATTAAACCGACCCCGGGGTCTGATGCCTGCTTCTGAAGCTCATCCAGGTACTCGTCCCACTTCGAGCACTTCCTGGGGCCGGAGTCCAATCCCATCAGAGCTCCGATACTGCAGTGTTAGCACAAAGCAGGAACCCTGAAGAAGTCACAACACTTGGGGGAGTTTCTATGCCTGAACTAGATTCCGGAACCCTACGAAATCCAGACCTCCAAACATCCAGACGTTGAGCGATTTTGGCCTTGCAATCGTCTGGATTTTCTGCATTTCTCCGAGTTTCTTGCGATTTGGGAATTCTCAGGTGCCAACATCCGGATTCTTGGTCATTCTGGCCTTTCAAACTTCTTGTAGACAGCATGTTGGAGGACAACAGAGCCGGGCTCATCGTTTGAGGCGCTTACTGTGTGACTTCCATTTTCGAGCGTCCCAACCCACCCCCCTCTCTTCAAATATGCCCAGTTTTACGTCATTTTCTATCCATACACACGCGAGAATATGCTCTCATCATTGCTCTATCCGAAACCCTAAACCCTTGATCCTTACTGACCGTGCCTTACACAACACCCTGCAGCTGAGGGCCTGAAGGGCTCCTCCGTCGCATGGTCGAAGACCTTGGTCGTGGGTCGATGGAATCTTTAGGGCTTACAGGGTGTAGGGTGTTTAGGGTTTAGGGTTTAGGGTTTAGGGTTTAGGGTTTAGGGCTTACAGGGTGTAGGGTTTATAGGGTGTAGGGCTTAGGGCTTATATGGTTTAGGGTTTAGGGTACTGCCTACCTGCACCCTACAGGAGCTGCCTTTTGGGGGTTCCTTATTATGACTTCTTTATATTAAGTCCTTAAAACGAAGCATCCTCAAGTCCTGAGACATCCTGAAGCCCACCACCTTTAGGGTTTAGGGTGTAGGGTTCAGGGTTTAGGCTTTAGGGTTTAGGGTTTAACCCTAAACCCTAAACCCTAAACCCTAATCCCTAACCCTAAACCCAAAACCCTAAAGTTTAGAGTTCAGGGTTCAGGGGCACCTCGGCCCTTAAAGACTTCGCGAAACGCGCATCGGGGAACCCAAGGACTTCCAAAGCCCTGAATTTCTTAGATAGCCAATGGGAGGTTTAGGGTTTAGGGTTTAGGGAACTTTAAACTTTTTGGCCTTATATGTCAAGTCTATCCTAAAAGGTCTGAACGTTTTTGGACCTGGGTGTGGAAGAAGCGAGATTTTGGAAGATAGCGTAGGGGCCTCAATAATTAGAAGCCAGGGTATTTTGGGGTTACTTTAACGGGTTCCTTAAGGGGTTCTATAAGGGCTACTATAAGGGTTTAGGGTTTAGGGGTCTTAGTAATTAGAACAAAGGAATTGGGGCATATTATAGTATGCTTTTCACAAGGACCCCCCCCAAAAAATAATGTAGGTAATTATTAAGGCCCCTATGTTACCATTAATTGGATGAGGGTTTCATTCTGATTTAAGGCTCTTGAGGGATATTCATTCATTAACAGGCGTTCGAGTCGCCCGGAGCCACATAGTAGGAATAAGAACAGCAATAAGAAAGCCAGCAATCACAATGACAATATTCACTTGGAGTAATAGAAATCACGCAATACAATAGTAGATGCAGTAGTAGAAAATAGCTAATCCCCTACATCGTCTCGACCGGCCAAGAAGCAAGCCTCGGCGCTGGCGGCGCGCGAACGGGCGCAGCTCATCCGCTTTGTGCGGGGCAGCGTTTGGAGTTCTCTGTGGCCGGGGGACCCAGAAGCGGGGGTTCGGACTTTCGGGGTTTTAGGGTTCAGGGCTTTATGAGTTTTGGGGTTCAGGGCTTTGTGGGCTTGGTTTGGGGCTATTTGGGTTTAGGGCTTTATGAGGGACGGACTCTATGATTATGACGGTCCTATGGGGTTCAGGAATTTTTGAGAGGGTTGAAGAGTCGAAGCTGTGGGTTCTTAGCATCCTTATATAGAAGCTTAAATAATTACCAATACTACTGTTAGGGTTCCTTATTACAAAGATACTATAAAGGAGCGGTGGGGGCTCGGGTTCTTAGGGCTTGGGCGACTCCCGGGGTTCAGAAAGGACTAAAAATATAGGAGCCTGAATAATTACAAATACTATTCTGGGGGCTCCTTGTTACAATTATAGTATAATATACCTCCCCAATTCTAATTACTAAGGCCTCTATATATTTTTTATTTTGTCAGGTTTGAGGGGTCTCTGGGACTGGGAGTAGGGTTCGGGGTGCTTCTGGTTCGGGTTGAGGGTTTTGGGGTTTAGTGGCTCGGGGGCGTGCCTGGTAGATTTGGGGCTGAGGTTTTAAAAGGGTCTAGGATTGAGTCTGTGGGTGCAAGGGGCACAGAACGACACATCAGTCTGAGCGCCGTACAAAGAGGACATTTCGGAAGCTTGTGATGAGTGCGGTCTCCCTGCCGCAGGAAGAAGGGGGCAGGGTTCGTGTTCTTCTGC